TAACACATCATACAAAACACACGGCATTTGATGCAGATGCGACGAAAGAGTTATTCATGTACAAGTCTCGAGCATTTATGAAGCATTCTCTCTTTATTGGTACGAATGCATTGAACATGTCCGGATAGAGTGTGTTTTGTTTTGTTTTTTATGACCAAGGCTTATACAACAAGAAAAAAACTTAGTCTCCAGACTTGTTCTTTCTTTTTTTTTTTTTTTTACAATGTATAACCAGTGTAACCCTTGGGTTAAAAGTCGCGACTGAACACTTTAAAAAGTCTGCGAGTTCGCCTTCGCGCGGAACACGGAGAGAGCCAATGACGACGTGCAACTCCAAATCGTTGAGTGGCGAGGCCGATTTATTTTATGCATATTCGTTCGTGAAAACAAGTGTAATTCCAAGGTTTACCATGGCGACATTTACGGGTACAGGCATGCTCCTCCATCGATATTAAATTCTTTCCAAATAAGTCCACGTTCAACGTATACTACTTAACAATGTATAGCTGCGTGCACACTCGGTAAATGATTCAATTTCTTGTTGCCATGGAGAACTCCTGCTTGAAAGGTCTGCGAAGAGGGGAGGGGGGGGGGGGGCATAATAGATATAAAAAATGGAGCATATGCGAGAGCACGCTCATATTGAGGATCGAAACGAACGCAAATGAACAGTAAACAAAACAGAAATACTCCCCCACTGCTTTCCTTGCCGAGTCTAAAGAACTCAGTTTTCATTGCGTTCGGTTTAGAAGCTCCCCGGTGGTAACAATAAACACAGCTCGGCAAACGGAAGCAGAGCGTGAACGACCTACGCTACCGCAAAATAGAAGGAACGCGTTAATCGATATAGATAAAAGTCTCCAGGTACACCTAAGCACTTCTTATGAGTTGGGAATGCGAAAGCATGAATGTCGTGCTTTGCGCCGCGGCCGCTTCTGCTCCGGCGCAGCAGATAGCCCCGAGAAGTTCGGGTGGCGCCCCCTTACGGCTAACCGGGGTGACGTCACGGCGAGGAGAGAATTTTTCCCCGACTCGTCCCGGTCGTCCTGTGGAGGTTGTGACGACGCTAGCTGTCGGCGCGCTCGTTTCTCTTTAATTTTGTTTGCGTGTTTTTTGTAGGAAGTGCAAATTTTTATATGTGCCTTTATTGAGGTATGGCCTGTAGCTACAGGCGAAACTTCAACCAACATTTTAAGCATGGTTGACAGGGCAGGCAACGCGTGAATCGCAGCTGGTATATGAAAATAAAGAAATATGGCCACAATTGCAGGAGCATCACTATAGATTTACATCTCGCCTAATAAGTGCGCTGATGGTCTGAATGACTTGGCAGGTTATGTATACTATTTTTTTATATATATCTCTGTTTCTAAACAAGATCGCCGAAGCAGAAAAGCTGCATGCTGCTCGAGCAACATGTTAAATACAGTCTTGGCCATGGGGAGAAAATCACAAGTAAGACAGCCCAAGTGCCGGGGCAAAGTAAAGAAACAAGGAACATTTATTATATACATTGCTCGCATTTGACCTTTGCTGGATTCGGATAGTATTTCAATGGACTACACGGGTGGTATCTGTGGACTTGTTTATATCAACCCTCAAGTAATGTATAACAAACCTAAGCGAAGGTGTCTAGCTCGGTATTAGTCCCTTAAGCCCTAAAATTTAGATTTTACTTAAATCGAATGGTCCTGAAGCTAGCAAGCATTTCTCACGCAGATTGTCACCCTTCACAGGTTCCACATTTTCTGCTACTAGTGCTGCATCTACCGCTGGACAGACGTTCGGATGCTTGCTTTTACTCCTGTTTTCCTCTGTTGTTAGAGAGTTCAGCTGTAGGAAGTTTGGAGGCTGATGAAGCTTTTGGAGACCTGCAGCAGTGTCTCTTTTAATTAGAAATGACAATTCAGACTAAACGGTGTATTTTTTAATACCCAAGGATGGAAAAAAGAATGTCAGGAAAAAGTATAAACATTCCAAATTACAGCACTATTGCTGTGCATATTTTGGGCAGTTCAGTACATATCATACAGGCAACTGGGGGCAGTTCGGCCGTTTTGCTGCTACCATATAAAATAATTTCCAGTAATTGTGCATCTTCTAAGAAATATGCCTGCATACCTGTATAAATTATATAATTAATTCACGAAGAAGCTATATTTATGTAAAACAACCCTGTTCCACGAGCACTTCAAAGATCATCAGACACAGCTGCAGGGCCAGCGCATGCAGAGTGGCAGCGCAAAGTCGGGGTCGCGAGCTAATTTGCCGACCACCCAAAGGCCCATGATATAAAAGCCACTTCAAATGCCTTGAAAGCGGGATGTAATATCGTCCTAAATCATGAACATGCAAGGAATAGAGTTCCAGCGTCTGAAACACTTGCGCCACCGCTTCACCGATCCCTCGCAAAATTGCCTTGTGTCGTGTGGACCGACAGGGGGGTTCATCAGCGGAATTGCCTCTGCTGATAGCTTTTGGGATTTGTAACCTAATTATAAAGGTAAAAGGGACAAGCAGGCTTATACAATGTACGGCAGCACTCAACGTCTTGTACACCGGGTAAACGAGGTCCCGCTCCTCGAAGTGCTTGCGGCACACAACGCCAAACCAGGAAACCGGTGCAAAGAAGCGAGCTGGATGCGAGACCGCGGAGCGGAGTCCTTCCCCTGACGTCACGGTATACCTCGCCCAATCAGGGCGCGGCGACCGCAGCGACGCTTGTGTTCGCTCTCGGGGCTAATATGGGGCGTCAGAGCCGGGGAGAGTTTGGCCAGTGGGTGTGGCGACGAAGGCGTCGGAGAGGAGAAAAGTGAAGGAGAGGGAGGAGAGCGCCGAAGGAGCGAGAGAGAAAGAAGGGAGCAGAGGGGAGGCGACCGCCATTTCGACGCAACGCTGTCGGCGCGCCGAGCACTGTCGAGGCTACACGTCGTCTGCTACGGGATTATTTCTTTTTCGCCTGAATCGTAGCGTTCAAACGTGGAGAAACTTCGTTTGTTAGCTTAAAAGGAAAGAAACGGAATTTAGATGTCGATCCCAAGCATTCCGCCGTGCAAATGAATGAAAACGTTACCCGTTCCTCGAAATAAGTAACGTACACACATTATTCGGTACTCTTCTGAAAAAAAAGTAACACGTGAGTCACTAAACTACCGAAAAAATAGCGCTGCAGTAACGCCCTTATCTGTAAGTAGGAATGCGTTACCGCCAAAGCTGGGTTTTCAATAGGTTCTAAAGAAAAGTTTTGAGTGCCCATTATAGCGCTGGCTATACAGAAAACTAAATACCACGTTTTATTATTCTAATTTGCGTTAAATGGAGCTCTGTTTTTATATAAAAACGGAGCTCCTAAGTCGGTCTTTTGAAAACCACTAAGTCGGTCTTTTGGAATTATTTCAGACACGTGGGAAGCGCGGGAGTGCACCAAAGTCACCTCTCGTGGAACAGACGCAACCCGGGCAGTTCGAAAACGCGGATGACAATCTACTCGTCAAAACTTGCTTCAAATCTCTCCCAAATGTACTGATTGGTTGGTTTTCGATGACGCCCAAATTAATATGCCCGAATTAAAAGTAAGCACTCCGTATAGACACCTTTCAGAAAGTCTGACAACAGTGAAATAAGCTACAACTGGCTGGGTACACTGGGCAGGGGACGCCATCTTGGAGGATGCTCCCGGTGTGTTTACGTCGTCCCAGTGCGAGTTTTCTGGTGTGGTGAGGAGGTCGTAGGTGAAATACAACTGCCGTTTCTTTATCACGCGCTAAGAAATTCTCTCTTTTATGCTCGGGGTCAGGACGAGACTTTGAGGGTTACCGTTCATTATTAAAAGACTGGATTAGTTCCTCGAAATGTATTTTTGTGTGTTTCGTTAATGCGCTCGCAGTCACACTCTTGGGAAAGATAAGTGAGTGTTCGTGGCTACATGGGTTGAAAGGCTTGCGGTTGCATCATTCTGTTAATCTAGATTTTATTCCCGATCAGTCGCGAGCTTATGTAACACGCAGTGCACAGTTGTCGGCAATCGGGTGACTGCGTGCCCACCGATTGCTAGTCGCTGCACTCACAAGTTCTCTGACTGAGAAACTCGCTAGCATGGTTGCCGACAGCACTCCAAGCAAGTAGGCTTCGTGTCTAGAGGCAGCTTCGTGAAAGCAGTGTCTTTCCGTTTGCTTAAATGGCGGTAGCACATCATCTGTGCACACTGCTTATGTAAAAGCCGCTTCGCTCAGCCAATGGGTATTTAGGTGCTGCTACACTCAGCCAATAAGACTAGGTGCTGTTTCTCGTGGTTACAGACAACGCCGGCTGCGCTCCTTATAATGTTTTCACGTTAATATAATAATAACGTCACTTTGTAGAGTACTTAGAAGTTTGAACGCGGTCATTAATCAGCTGCTTACATCTGTCAGACAAGCACGCGAGGCCGTATAGTTTTGCATATTGCCAGCGTCTACGAGTAAAGCGTCCACACTAATAAGGTTGTGTTAAACGTATTCAAAATAAAAGCCGCACACTCTTCATTTATAACAATAGCAACCGACTCTATAGTGTGTTTGGCTCACTTGCAAATTTCCGCGTTAAACGCGGAGGACGGGCAGTCACCACCTCGATCGTGGCTGGCTTTATGTCTGGACAGGCAGAACAAGACAAATGTAGTTTGTTCACTAATTCGGGCAGCCAAAAAAACTCCATCTGACTTTACACAACGAAACGCAAACGTATTGAGATTAGTATTGCAACATTGAACCGTGCGCACACTTGCTTGAGCGACGCAGTATCCTTCAAGATGGCGTCGGGGGCTAGTGGCGTTTTTGTGCGACAGATGGCGCTCTTTTAACTTAAGGCAGTATTCCGGTCGAAAGGTCGTCAGATATCCTGAAAATATCCAAAATATGTGGAAGGAATGTTTTACCTTGGTCGTACATCTCATTACTTGGTCTGTTCCTTTTTTTTTTTTTTTTTTGTCTCCAGATGACCTCCCTCTGGTGGCTGTGCCGGGAACTTTAACCAAGAGGTACCCAAACTGCACATGCTTGCAAGGGCCGCCGACGCAATATGGGCGCCTTCGAAAATAAAGGTATGAACGTACTTACAGTTATTATTACGGTGTGATCGGACTCATCAAATCATTTTCTCCCCTCCCCCTTCCTACGCCACATGCTTCCCCCTCTTTGCAAATATCAGCTGATCTTCGAACATCTTATCTCCTTCGTGCAGGAATGTTTGTTGATAGGCAAAACAACCACTAAAATTCGAAAGTAATTTGTAACTTAAGTAGAAGCTACTCAAAAAAGTAATTAACGAAAACTACTAATTACCGAACTAAAAATGTAATTCAAACTTACTAAACTACCCAGAAAAGTAGTTAAACTACAGCAACTTGAGTAGAGTAGTTGAACTACGTACAAGTCTGCATCTTGGAGCTGGGGCCTTGTCAAGCTGCATTTGTTGCAGCTTTTTGCCCCGGCTACCATTTTTTTTTTTCGCCAAAGAAAATAAAATTGATTTACTGATTGAAAACATGCATCCAAAAAATAAGTTTCAAGTAGACTTGAAGTACCTTGAAATGCCTAAATAGGAGGTTAGTATACTCAAAATACTTCGCAAATACGCTGCGTTAAATATAAATTAAATTCATGCTAAATTCTTGTGAAACAAAAGAAAAAAACGAGGACAAAAAAAAAAGGGGGTGTCACTTCTCCGTTACTTTTTTTCTTAGGCTAGTGCAGACATCCTGTTGAGTTTGAAGGCCACTGCACGCCATATGACACTCGTCAATCAATTTGATTTTTAGTTTCATTCATGTTTCCATTTTGTGCTGAGACTCACCCGATGAGGAATATACGCCACGTTTGCTATCGTCCCAGATAGAATATTAAGAGACGCGGTGCCTGGCTTGTCATGTATCCCCTTCTTGCTTTGTGATTCGTTTTTTTTTTTCCTTGTATTTTTATAGGCCAATGGATCAATTCATCGGTCGTGGAGCAATGACAAGGTGTTCAAAACTCACCACGCCTTGCAATTCTTAAGCTCTTTGGCAGAACAGCGTACACTTTTTTTTTTTTCTTGAAGTGAAGTTTCATCTAAAGGCCATGTATGACGAGCGCGTTGGTTGAGTCGAGGAACACCGAAAATATAAGACACGGATGGACGAAGGACGGCGTACACAGTTTTACGGCGTCCCTGTTGGACCTGTGTCTTTTAGAGCGCAGCTCTAGGCGCTTGTTTACGGCTTGAGCGGCGTCGCCGTCACCGTCGGCGTAACCGTGAGGTTACGTGACCCCCATGAGGTCACGTGACCCTGGTGACGTCACATGACCTCCCGGTTACGCCGATGGCGACGGCGACGCCGACGCCACTCAGAGGGAGGAGTTGCAGGCAGGATGAGGTGGTGAGAAGGGGGGAAAAGGGGTATACCCTCCTTTTAGTACCCTTCCCTCCTCCTCCTCAAGAGCTGCGCTCTAATTCGGTGTTACAGGGTGTTGTAAACATCTTTCATCTTGTCTTTTTTTTTCGGTGTGGTTCCTTCGTTTAAACTTTCTGTTTTTCGCGTTTATATATATATATATATATATATATATATATATATATATATATATATTTAGAAAGAGAGTTTTTTTGTTTTGTTTTGTTTTTTTGCATCGAAAGTACGTCGGAGTGTTTCAATTGGCCCGCGTATGCTCTCTATCCCGTGTACATAGGTGCCTGTGTCCTGGCTTCCACTCTTCCACGTTCAGAAGCGGGCCCGCGGTTTTTGGGAGCTGAATCGTACCGATAGATGTCCTTACCATAAAAGTCAAAAACGAACGTGGAAGTTAGAACGCCAGCAGTCAACACTCCTATATAGTTGTTTTCCTCTGGGCACCGCCATCTTGCTACTGGTGTGGGCAGATCGTCTGATGGTCAAGCATTGCTGTGGTGTACCCACAGCCTCAGCCATGCTTGACAATCGGACGATCTATACAGACACCAGGATCAAGATGGCGGCGCCCAGAGGCCGTATACTTGCAAACGTCTATAGACCAACTAAACTTGCTGGTGGCAGAAACCAGATTCGTCACTTTCTGACGAATCTGGTTTTTGCGCATGAGCAATGCCTGTGGGCGAACGCGAGCTTCTCTGGTTTAACCGGTGTAGGCGGCCCCAACAACATAACAAGAAAGAGAAAACTAATATTATTTCAAGCGGTGAGGTTTCCTTCCTAGGAAACATTAATTCGTTCACAAATAGAACCTGGTGGTCTGAGGGCCATACATGGACGTCTATCTAAACACTCGTAGTCGTCACGAATGCTTTCGATGGCGGAATTGGGATATGACGGCAACTGCAGCTACGTCACTAAACGGCCGGAAGTGTTTTATGTCTTATCCACTCGAGAGAGCCGACGGTTCGGAAGGGCCAAGGGGCTAAATGGTCATTTCCGTCGATAGACGACGCCATTTCCTGTCTCTTTGGCACTCTTAAAGGGACACTCAACCCATAGAGTTATTATACTGTACGCTAGAGGTTCAACTGGCGCTAGTGTCTATTCGACTTCCGGAAGGCAAATTGAAGCAGACAGCAACTAGTCTACTTTTTGCGGTGCTCCTGTGGACTGCATATGGGAAAACTCGCGTGCATTTTGTCTCTTCGCCAGAAACTAGCATGAATACTCTTGTTGTTTTGCTCGTACGGAATAGTATGTACCTTAATAACACTGAGAAGTGTAATAGCTTTAGTTAGCGCATTTTTCTACATCAGTGAACGATGTTTAACTTCGTTATATTTTTGGCCGAAACCCCTCTTCCACAGCAGGTGTGAAAAAACAAGCGAGGATTCTAAGTAAAAAAAGAATCGAAAGGAATATAAAGTCTGTTCGAGGTTAGCCAGCATTCCGGTGACGCTTATATATTGCTAATACGCCAGTACTGTCATTATATGAAAATGACCCCGTCTTGCATCTTTGCGAGCGGTTAAAAACATTCAAAACGTAAAGAATAATGTACGTGGGCTGCGAAAGGTATCTAACTTTATTATTTTTTTATTCTGGGTAGCTTTTATCAGGCACTGGTTCTTTAAAAATTTCGAGCGTGCGGGTGATGTTTTGAACGTAGAAGAAGCATCTTTGCACAAAGCTGAAAGAATAAAGCGGTACTTACTTCCTGAAAATCGGACTATATTACGTGGCCTTCAATTTATTTTGATCGCACATGCACAGGGAGATAGTGATCCAGTGTTACTGCGAATTTCTTGTCGTTTCTCTTGGTTTTCCAGATGTCCTTCGTTCGTTTGACAGTAAATCCCCCATGCTGAAAAGCGCCAACGTCATGTTCGCGCTAACAGTGTCCGACAGTGCACATAAATACGTGTACGAAGCAGTTTTAGCACCCTTTTTAATGCAATGAATATGAAAAAAAAACTTCGTGTATGATCAATTACTTTGTCTGCCTGACCGGGGAGTGTTCCAAGCCACCTAGTACTTATTCCAAGCCACTTATTTGGGATAGTTGCTCTTATAACCGAGCGGCATGCACTCACTTTTGAGTTTTGACCATAGAAATGCATTACCGAAGTCAATCGTTGACTCTTTGCCTCAATTTGCGACAGCACACTAACGCCAGTTGAACCTCCAGCGTTCATTATAATAAGCCTATGACTGAACCCAGGGTGAAAACGTATTTTTGGTTTTCTACCTGTTTTATGACAGGCATGTGTCAAAATTAATGTTCGTCGAAAAAAAAAACAATATTTTGCCCAATCCTTGTGCTACAATACGTATTTTTCGATTTGCGAGCGAAACCGAAACTGTACCCCTGTGGGATGATGATAATGGCGTTTGTAGCTCCGCCTTTAGTGCGAGTTCGCTGGCTTCCGTAGGGCAAGGAAACATTTCGGTTTCGCCCGCAAATCGAAACATTCGTTCTGTGGCATAAATATTGGGCAGAAAAAAAAAAAATTACGAAGATTTTTTGTGAAACATGCCTGTCCGAACAAAGTATAAAAAAAAATATTAACAAGGGGAGCTTTTTTTTCAAACTCGCGTTTTTGTTGTACTTGTTTATTTTTAAACAAAGGATGAGCCTTTTCTTTTCCGGTGAGTGATTATGAAGAAAAAACTTACTATAGCATCACGGACAGGTGCAAATCCACAGAGGAAGGGTGCAACCTTTTGCCGGTCAATGTAGCGAGAAAGCTTGCCACGTCTAGTGACGCGACCACGTGATGCCTGTGAATGTAAACACCTGCAGCCTGGCGAGAGCCCAGACGTATTGATCAAGTTGCGTCTTCAGTGTTAATTTTGACGCGAAACACGATAAACGTACGTTCGCACATTTTCCTCAGTTAGGATGCCTCATTTTTCAGCCTGTCGCTCTAGCCGGTACACCGCCCTGCCGATTTTCGGTACACATCTTGTTTGTATAGCTATATGAAAAAAAAAAAAAAAAAAAAACGAAAGGTACCGCATTGATATTGTAAAACATTCTTCGTGTTAAAAAAAAAGCGTCCGCCTTCCTTGCTACTATTTTTTTTTCTTTTATTATATATAGTATATTAGGGTTTAACTTTGAACCGTACCAAGTCAGGATGAAACATGCTAAGAATTCAATAATGTTAACCAAAAATAAAAGATAACTCGGAGGATTGTAATAATGATTCTGGAGGGACAAGATTGCTTAACGAGTTAGGAGTAAGTAGTAAAAAAAAAAAAACATTTTGCGTGACGAATAAACTGAAAGCAGAAAAGTTACAAGCGGGCACCCCAAAAAGCATTCAGTAGCGTTTAGGCGCAAAACTCGGCCCTTCGCAATGTCCATCACACGAAGCGACTAAACAAACAGCAATAACAAGAAACACTAAAGCCCTCTCTCCATAAGAGAAAGAAAGACATAATCTCGTTGCTACTAAGCATAACGAAACGCAAGAAAAGACGATGAGTAGAAACAACTTCCTGGTCCCTCGCGGTCGCCAAAGTTTGGGGAAGATCTCTCAACGGGAAACGGACAAAAGCAGACTTGCACCGAAACAAAAACCAAAAAAATACCTGTCACAAAAACTATTTTTTCGCGAGACACGGACGGAAATGCGGACAGAAATACC